CTCTCTCTCTCTCTCTCTCTCTCTCTCTCTCTCTCTCTCTCTCTCTCTTTCTCCCTCTCTCTCCTGTTGCCCTAATGAGAATATGCCTGTCTCTGTCTAGTAAGCCAACCTCTCCTTGTCCCTCAAGACCTACATGGACAGTCCTTCCTGAGCATGCCTGGGCTGCCCTGTCCTGCCACCCACCTGAAGGGCTGGCTCCCTCCTCTTCTCTGTTCTGCCTCTCCTGGAAGCTGTGAACTTTGCAGAATTCCATGGTCACAGAGACCTTGGCTATAGGACAGAGCTCTGGGCTTGGCCCTGCACCACTACCTTGAGTCATAAGGAGAGGGCACCAAGTAAGCTCCACTTCTACCAACAGTCTTCTCTGTTTTAAAAACTTTATTTTATGTGCATTGGTATTTTGCCATGGGTGTCAGGGTCCCCTGAAACTGGCATTATAGACAGTTGTGAGCTGCCATGTGGGTGCTGGGAATCGAACCCGGGTTCTCTGGAATAGCTGTCGGTGCTCTTAACCTCTGAGCCGTCTCTCCAGCCCCCAACAGTCTTCTCTTGCTGTACAGTGTAGGGAAGAGGGGCTAAGGTTCCAGGGTCATCTGGGGGGAGCCTCAGCCATAGCACCACAAGTATAGACCATAGAGATGGTGCCCCTGCCAAAGTCAAGCCTTCCCACTTCCAGCTCCATGTTCCCAGGGTAAGGCCTGATTTTTCCTCTAATTTGGCATCCGTTTATATCCCATGTCCTTGTCACTTGTAAAGCATCTCTGACGGCTAGCTTTAGAAGGAGTTGTCAAAATAAATGGCCATGAATACAGGCTCCCTCAGGAGTCTCAGCAGCCTTCACAATGCCTTGCCTCCCACTCACCCGTGAGTGCTGGCTGCATGCACTGGGGGGTCAGTAGGGCCAGTACTGGCTCCTCTCGCAGTCCAAGGCTGAGGGCGGCTCTCCCACACGGTCAGCAACACAAAGCTCCTGGGGCTGGGCTGGGCTTCACCACCTGCTCTGTCTTGCATCAGGCACCAGTGAATTCCAGATTCAAGAACACCCTGATCTTTAAAACCAAGTTCAAGTTTAGACATTTTGTTTGGCAGTGTGGCAGCACCGGGGAGACGGCTCCGTCAGTAAAGGGCTTGCTGTGCAAGCCTGAGGACTTGAGTTCGATTCCCAGGACAAGCATTAAAAGCTGGGCTGGTGACATCACCTATCATTCTATTGCTGTGCAGTGTGCAGAGAGTTAGATCCTTGAAGTTCCCTGGCCAGCCAATCTAGCTGAATCAGTCTCAGGTCCCCAGGAGAACCTTTGTTTCAAAAACCCCAGGATGGATGGCCCCTGAGTAGTAACACCTGAGCTCAATCTCTGGCCTCTCCATGCATGCAAACACATGTGCACATGCATACACACACACACACACACACACACACACACACACACACACACACACACACACACAAATATGGAGAGGGAGGCTCTCCTATTCTTTCTTCAGTGTATGCTGGACAGTCCCTGAGGAAAATACATGCTGGTCCCTGAGTGATCTGCTTGGAGTTACAGATGAGTTCCAGGGAGCGGTCTGTGGGAGACAGTGAGTTGCAGCAGCCCAAGCTCCATGAGTTCCTAGCCTTTCCTAGTACTAGAGTCCTTCTCATGGGAGCATGGGTTATCCTGGAGCCACAGGACTCAGAGTACAACTAAGCCATGGCACATACTAGGTCCCGCCATAGCATCTCTCTAGTCCCACCAAGGCAATGGCTGAGAGGGTGTATGCCTACAGAGGTGCTTACCTACGGTGGGTGTCTGCTGCGGGGGTATCTGTCTACGCCCTTTCTTTCTCAGAAGTGCCACGTCCAAGTGTGGGTTGAGTGTGTGGAGAGAGAGTGGTTGAACAAGCCCCAGCTTGGTTTGGTTCTATTTATTTTCCATGAAGGGTGAGAACCCTGGAACAGAGTGTGATTAATTTACTGGTCCCCCGAGGGACGGGCAGCTTTCTTGGATGGTTCAGAAGCTGAAGTCAGGGAAGCAGCTTCCAAGGCAACTGCTACCATGGAAACAAGAACATCAGCTTTGTGGGGACCTTGCTCCTAGGGTCCCTTCAGACCTGAAGCCGCTGCAGTAGTTGGCATGAGACCAATGTAAGCTGTCTGTGGAGCTGGGTCTGGTAAGGGGCAGTGGACCAAGAGGAAGAAGAGGCCCCAGAGTTCAAGCAGATGGACATGTGGAAGCCCAAAGACTTGATTATCCCATGGCCAGAGCTCCCAGCGTCCAACTGAACTAGTACTGGGGCCAGACCAATGTCCTCTCGCTGGATCTGAGAAATGAGTCCTGACGCCTGAGAAGGTCTGCCAGAGGGAGTTGATAGTGCAGAGACATGATGTCGACATTCTCTGCCAGCTCCTTGAAGCTGGCTCCCTGAAGACTACAGGCCAGTGTGATTCCTAGAGCTGGAAAGCTGGCTTTGACCATCCCAAGCTTCAATGCCTGGACAAGGCTCCACCATCCAGAGCTCTCTCGGAGCATCCACCATACCTGTCTCTGTCCAGCAGAGCCAGAACATCCAAGGTACCCCAGTGAATGGTGGTACAGACAGGACTAGAACTCAGGACCTCCAGTTTCCAATAGTAGACTCTTCCCTGGCACCATGACTGTGCCCCCACCCCCAGACAGGGACCCCAGTACAGAGTGGTGGGCAGAGCAGCCTCTCAAAATAAGGATCTCAGTGGCCAGAGGCCTGACTCATTTCAAAGTCAGATTATTCTGCATCCCACATAGGAGGCTCTCAGAGGGTTCCCTGGGCAAGAAGGAGGCTTCTTTTCCAACCTTGGTGTCGTAGCTTTATTCATTCCACCCAGGAGATAGGGTATGTGAACCAAGATAACCAAAGAGGGTGGACTACCTACCTATCTGGAATGCATGACCCTTCACCTTCGTTACTTGGTAACTTTTACAGCTTGGTGAGCTAAACACCACTGTCCCCATGCAGAGCTGAGAAACAGACTTACAAGTAATTTGTGCAGGAAACAAAGCCATGAATGGCTGAGCTGGGACTCAGACCAAAGAAGCAAGGCTCTGGGTCCTAAGCCTCTCTGGAAGGAATTCAAATCCCACCATTCATTCCCAGCTCTACAGCTCTGGGCCATCTACGTTTACTTTGCCTGTTTTTCATGTCCAGTGGGATAACATAATAGTACGTATTCATCGGAGAGCTGTGCAAATGGAATGCCTGTAAACTCCTTGGAATGGACCTACTACTTAATCAGTGTACAACTGCTAGCAAAACTGAAGCTGGCATAGTATCATTTAAACAGCTGTCCAAGGGAGAGGACCTCGCTATGTGGGCCAGTGTGAGGAGGTTGGTGGGAAGGCACAGCTGAGCAAAGGCCAGAGGGATGAGAGCCTGGGGTCTTGGGCTGCAGGAAGACTGGAGATGCTGATAGAATGTGTTTGATCTGGGAAGTGCCCAAAGATACCTTCCTATTGGGGCCAGTCTGGAGGGCTGACCAGGCCAGTGCTTAAGTCCACAGACAGAATTCATTTCTGAGTTCTGAATGTCCAGGGACTGGGAGTCTTTGGGCCATTCTGCAAATCCACTTTTCCAGTTAGCCTCACTTTAGGTGGATGAAGGGATACAAAGGGAAGACCATCCACCATGCCACCAGTGTGCAGACATTCATACTATGGGATAGCTGGTAGCCCGTGACCTGAGCCCTGATCTCAACCAGATTCCTTATTGACACCTTGGGAAGTTACAAAGGCCCATCCCACCTACCTCTCTAGTCTGGCTGTGGGTAGGAGTCACCATTTTTCTTTGTTATCAACTCTGGTAGGACGAGTGCAGTCCTGGGCATACAGCAGGTCCTCAATAAAGGCATTGTAATGCTTTAGACAAGAGAAATGCTGTCTTTCATGGGTGGGTAGGGCCATCTGCTACAGCTCCTTTGGAAGCCTGCTTGTGTGATGGTTACTGACCCAACCACAGCCTCTTCTTGACACATAGCCCTTAAAAAGCAGTCGTTTATTGGAGAAGTGGTGTTTGATGGATTTCATTTCCTCATCTACAAACAGAAAAACAAAGGTCTCCATCTCACCTTGTGGATCAAACGTGCTATTATATTTGGGGATCCTTCCCATAACCTCACTAAGCTCGGCCCCATCCCGGAGGCCTGCCTCCTCTTCAAGTCTGCAGCTGAAGAAGGATCACCAAGGCTGCCACAGCTGGAGTTTAAAATTATTTATTAAAACAAGCACAAGTTATGACAGAATTTGGTGATTGTGGCTGACTAACGTGTGTGTCACATACACAGATCTGTCTTCTTTATGCGACTCCACGGCGTAGTATGTGACAGTGGCTGCACCCCCATGTCTGAGGCAGTGGGCACAGCATTCCTTAGAGCGGGGCAGCTGGGCTGCCTGTCACCTAGCTTCATCTTGGACACAGCAGTCTAAGTGCCTTGGGTTTGTGCCCATCTCCATAAAAGACCTGGGAGAAGGCAGCAGCGGACGAAGACACCATCTCTCGAGTGTTCGCCATAGTAACAGTTTAAAATCAGTTGGGACTGTAGGGAAAAGGGGATTAAAACCAGAGCACATGGATATCCCGCTTGGGGAAGTCCACGGGCTTGCAGTGGGAGTTTGAAGTTCTATGATTGCTGGAAGAACATGGTTAAAAAAGCAAACATATTTTTAAAAAGAGAAATAATACTGACTCCAGCAGCAATCCCAAACATGGGAGAGGATGATAAATGAGGAATACATTTCGGTCACGGCAAAGAAAGATTATGTGCTTCTCTGTGCTACAGACTGGAAGACGGATCTGGCTCCCTGCCCTTCCTCAATTGAGGGGATGGCTTTGCTCAGCCAGGGAGAGGACAGGCGGCGAGGACGTCTGTAGGACAGAGGAAGGTGGGAGGATTGCCAGAAGGTGACAGTGCAGGGAGGAAAGAGGCATGTGTGTCGGCAGCCTCTGTCAGCTCCTGGACGCTGGCTCCCTGAAGGCTGCAGCCCCAGCAGCCCCCACCGCAAGCTGGATCCGGGATCTGCACACAGGGAGCACTTGGAGCCCAGCGAAGAGATGTTCCTGCTGCAGGCGATTATGCAAAGTGACAAGTGATTGCTTTCCTTTTCAAAGACAACCCCTGTGGAAAAAGCTTTTTCCTCTAAGGACCCAAGGGAAATGGGGGGATGGGTGGGAACCCACCGAAGCCTTTGTGGATGGAAAAGGCCTGCTTGGAGCTGCGGGGCAGGTCCCTCTGCTTGCTTCGTACTTTGACCTCACAGGTTTCCAGGGGGCATTGCCTGGGCAGGCCTACAAGATGTGCCTGCAGTGGTTCAGAGCCCCATAGGTGTTGAACATGGGTTTGCATGGCTGCCTCGTCCAGCCTGGGCCAGGGCTCGCCTTCGTGCCAGGCGAGATTTGGAAGGAGGGGACAGCTTCATGGAGCAGAAGCCCTCAGCAAGGGCCTCAGGTTCCTCAGCCAGTTCGTTCTCCTCATGCTGAGACAGCTGGCGATTAAGGGCAATGGCCTCAGCTGCAAAGAGTGTCAGGTCCATGGTGCTGCTGTTTCTGTAGGGGCCGGGGAAGGCATGGAGAAGAGGGCAGCAGGATTGAGATCAGGCAGGCAGGCAGGCTCGCAGATGCACCCACTCACAGCTGGGTCCTACAATCCAGCCGATTTGCCTGGGTCAGCTGCTCTCTCCAAAGCAGCTCTGCCTGGGTTTGGAACCTTGCTGGACTAAGATGAGAATGGCCATTGAGGCTCCTGGGCTGGAGAGTCAGGGCAAATGGCCTCTTCTCAGAGAACCCACCTACCTCCAGGCTCTACCATTGTCCCAGCTCTTCCCAAGCCAAGATGCTGCACTGGTCTCCTTCTCCCCGTAGGCAGGGGCTCTGTACAGGGCCTGTGCTATTTATTATCTCTGTGCTCCTAGAACCCAGCTCAGAGCCAGAATCGGCCAGACGCTTTGGGTCTGTTGAATAATCATCTAAGAGGGACCCAGGGTTTGGCACTTGGAAGCAGCCTGGGGTGCGCAAAAGGAGACTATTGTGGATAGTTCCTCCTAAGAGCTGCAGTGGTCCAGAGCCTCGTGGATGCTGAACATGGGTTTGCCCGAGGCTGGGTCCCTAAGGGGGTTTCTGTCCAGCTTAGCTCCGGCTCTATGGGTAGAGCTTGGTAGGAATTTACCTACAGCTGCAATGGGTCCCAGCACAAGTTAACCTGAGCCCGCTGAGTCTTACCTTTCCACCTCTAAAACGGGGACTGGAAAACTTAAATTTGTTGTAAAGACTATGGATACAGCACAGTCACCCACTGTGTGGCATTTCGGTTGCTGACATGTGCACATGATTATATCACCCAGTGTCATCTCTGATGTTTGTATGTGACAAAATTGTATTTCTTGTCTCTTTCCTGTTTTTAGTGCTGGGCCTTGTTGATGCTAAGCTCACGGGCTACCCCTGGACTATGCCCTCAGCTAGAACTGCAGTTCTCTCACTACATTTCTCAGCGTGGACTCTGGTCTTTGAGCTACAAATGATTGTGTATGGAATACCATTAGTACCACACCGAACATGTGGTGAGCATTTAAGACATAGAAGCCATAATCATTCCTGTGTGCCCAACAGTATATGTGACAACTTGCCCCTCTGCCTTACAGTGGCCCCGATTCCTTTTCCTTTTACCAATGCTAGGGGCAAGACCCTCCTGAGAGAATGATCCACAGATAAGGACCATCTTTGGGGTGTAAATGGTGATTAACAGTCACATTCAACTGGGTAGAAAACAGGGGTTTTCCTGCAAAGAGAGACTGAGATGAAGCTGAGAGAAAGAGAGATCTGTGTGGAGATTGGTGAGAACTGAGAAGTGGTCCGAGAACTCTCTGGAGAGGGAGGGCATCAGAGCCTGAAGATGGGCCCATGTCCCGTACATGGCTGAGGACCGGAGGGAGAGTCAAGGCCAAGGTGAGAGGGCAGCGGGTGAGATGGAAGCATTTACCTCTGGAGGACTTGCGGCGTGGGGAGTCCCCTTTCTGGAGCTTGCTAGAAGGGGAAGGACAGATGGTGGGTAACGCTGCTCCCGTCTTCCAAGAGCTGCCCCCACCCAGGCCAGCAGAGGGGCAGGTTACTACAGGCGCTTGGCCCAGCACAGGGACTTGGCTATGCTGGCTGCAGGACTTGGCCCTCCGAGGAGACGAGTGAGCAAGAAAGGTACACTCGGAAGTCACAGCTGCCTCGGTCCCCCTTTCCTGGTAACGTCTCAATGGTCCTCTGAGACCCAGTTCAAAGGTCACTTTCCCTGCCACTCTCCCCCCCAGCTCAGCAGAGGCCTTGCTGCTCTTTGTCCCTAGCACTTTCCACAGCATCCGTTGCACAAGGTCTACCTCCCTCCACTGGAGGGGGAGACAGGCCTGGGCCCTACCCACCTCTGTACTGCTTGGCTCTGACATGCAGTACATGAGAGTTAGCTACTGAGCCTCCCTGACATCACTCTGGGCTGGCAATGCTTGCCTCCTTCCAGTGGCGGGGTGACAGAGGCTGGTTAGGGTCTGGCAGACCAAGGACACAGAGACTTCTTACTGTGACTGCCCGTGAAGGATTTAAAGTTGTACAGTGAGGACTCGGCTCCTGAACTCATGGAAAACACTACCATTTGCCTTTTAGACCCCTGCACCCTGACACCCAGCTAGCTGCAAGGAGAATCACATGACCCTAGTGCAACCACATAAGCTGCAGGACCTTGCTTGCCTCTGAGAGCTCTTAGCTAATAAAATTTTATACCATAGACCCGGAATGGCAACTCCAGACTGCTTCCTGGGATGGGTTCCTCTGCTAAGAGAGGGACCCATGTGTCAGATCCTCAGAGGGCTTTAGGGGTTTGGTCTGTGGCCAAGGTTAGAGGCAAATCTTTGGCATGCCACAGGTCTGAGCCAGGAGTCAGCTCCTTCTACCATACAATGGCGGAAGCTGCTGTCTTCCGTATCCCCAGTCTGGGGCAGCCACACTGTCTGGGGTGAGAGCTTCCTTGTGATATCTCTGGTAGGCCAGTGAGATCTCATGCCACCCATCCTGTGGTCACTCACCCCTTGTACCCACGGGTGCTGAAGAACTTGGGCAGCGCTGAGTCTTTGCTTCGCATCTCGAACCAGGAGCTTAGAGATGAGATCTTTGGCCTCATTGGAGATATGAGCCCAGTCCTTGTCGGGAAACTCGTATTTGCCTTCCTGGATGCTCTCAAATAGCTTGTTCTAGGCAGAGAGAGTTCCTTCTGAGATCACATTGGCCAGGGATAGGCAGGAGATGCTGCTGCTGATCTGGTCACCCTGGCTCCAACTCTACTACAAGTGATGCTCATGGTTTGAGAACGCCACAGACAGAGCCTCCTTCCTAAATCTCTCCCAGGTCCCACAGTGATACGCAATGACCTCAGAAGGCCAAAATGGCTATGCTACTTGTAGGACAGGAGAGGTGATGTGTAAATATCATCCATAGACTCTCATTCCTGGCTCCTGGCAACCTCCCACCACCGCCAGCATGCTACCCGTCTCCTTCCTGCTGTATACATGCAGTAGTTTCATGCCTCCATGTCTTGGTCTGTGCTTGTCCTACCTACAGTTCTTGTCTCTTCCCCTGGACCAGACATACTAGGGTCTGTTTAGGTTTGCTATTCTCAACAACCCTCCCCCAGAATGTCAGCCGCCTGAACGTCTATCTCTCTTTTACCTTTGGCTTTCCTACCAGAAGAGGGCACCAAAACCTCTCCCAGATGGGGCAGTCTCCTATCCTAAATCTGTTTGGTACCCACCCCACCACCACCCTGACCTCCACCTATGCCCAGTGAGGCCCTGGCAGCACTTACCTGGCACACCCTGCAAACCTCTCCCCGGTCCCAGCCACAGTCAGCCCCACAGTGACCTACAAAGGGGGGGTAGCCACTCAGCATGATGTAGAGGACCACACCCAGGCTCCATAGGTCACAGCGCTTGTCATAGAAAGTGGCCTCGTCCCTAAAGACCTCCACCACCTCGGGTGCCATATACTCTGCAGAGCCGCACTGTAGGGTAAGGGCATGGGAAGGGGAGATGGCAAAGAGAGAGGGTGAGTTCACAGGTGAGCAGAAGGCAAAGTGTAAAACGTAATTCAGGCAAGAGGATGAAGAGTCGGAGTCACAGACAGAAGTCCTTGCGAAAGCTGCAGGACTCATCAGTACTCCAGAGACACAAGAGAAACCAGCTGAGGTGTCATCCCCTGTGGCTCACATGGCCAACTCTAAGTTACTGTCTTGTAACTTAGTTACAGTCTTAGTTACTCTAAGTTACAGTCTTGGAGCCCCAGGAGGGCCTCCCCACCTCATCTCTCTATAAAGCAGACCCTGTATGTATACACTTAAATGCCAAGAATGGCACGGTGTGTGTGTGGGGGTGTAATCTGGGGAGATTTACTTCTATAGAATCTTGAAGAGCTCTGATGAAATGTCCAGTCTCCCTGCCCTTTAAGGAAGATAAAAAAGGCTCAGGATGGACAGCGGCGTAGCCACGGCGGTCTCGGGCCAGGATCCTCCCAGGCCTGGCACAGAAGACTGGAGAGACGAATGGAACACATGCCTCTTGCTTCTCCCTCATCATTTCAGGCTCACCCACTCCTACCCACCCCTCTACCCTACCACTGATTTGGTTAGAAGATGGTGAGTGCTCTCAAGAACAGATAATATTTTCTGTTACTGGCAACGAGAGTTAATGAATTCCAGAACAAGCGAGTGCTATATATTGGATGCCGACATAGAAACATTGCTAATAATGTTGCTTAGAATAAGATACAATATAAGCATATTTAAAGGCAAGTCTTTAAAAAAAAAGGCTATTAGGAACATTCACTGATGAAGCATGCAAATCTCCAAAGAATCATCCTAATTACAGCATATTAAGGATGTGGGGGAGATGTCTTCCGGAGAAGCAGCTCCCAGTGCTACCATTTGAAATATGAAATGTGAAGGGGGAGAAGCAATAGGACAAGTGATCTTCTGTGCATGTGGCCTGGGACCGCACAGTTTTCCCACAGCGTGAATTATGTACTTTCCTGGGGGCGTTGATTGCTCCTATCCTCTACCACAAGGGGATAACCAGGGAGAAGGGGTTTACGGGCTCTCCACAGTTTCCATGCAATAGGGCGGGCTGTGCAGTGTCTGTTTGTATTTGGGACAAGAGAGAGGATGCAGTCTGTATTTGTGGAGACAATGGACTCTTCTTTGGCAGAGGGGACGCACCCCAAATGAAAGCTCCAATGGCAGTTTCATTAGCAACTGGGTGGGGATTGGCTTGAGAGCCAAAGGACCATTTAAGCCTGAGAAGTGCTACCTAGGATTTCCTTTCCTATCCCTCTGTCCAGGGTGTCTCAGATTCAGATGTTCCACCATACAGTAGCAGGGGCACATACTAGGCATACGTACTGGAGTCGTCAGCTCTGGTGTGGTTATGGGTGTGCAGGAGTTGTTCAGTTTCACCCCACTGCCCAAGTCAAAGTCACAAATTTTCACTGGAGACACCTGCAAAGGAAGACAGAATCCAGGAGTTGTCATAAGAAGCCAGAGGTCGTGGGGACAGCAGCATGACGAACAGGGGTTTGGCTGCCAACAGCAGCTGCTCTATCTGCCAGGCCATATTTACTGTCCTTGGGTTAGCCAGGCACCCGAGGATGGACTCCAAGCTCTCCTCTTCCCTGTACTCTCTTATTTCCCAAGGGAGGAGGAGCTGAACTAGATGGTGTTAAGATTGCTGTGACCTTATTATGATCCCCCCTCTTTTTTTTTATCATAGCTTTGTTCCCTTCCTCCTTGCCCTCTGCAACAGGGACTCTCTACATAGTCTGGTTGTCCTGAACTCACTATGTAGACCAGGCTGACCTCAAACTCACAGAGACTGCCTGCGTCTGTTTCCTGAGTGCTGGGTTAAAGGCATGTATCACACCTCCCTGTTTTAGTAATTCTTTTTTTTTTTTTTCCAAGACAGGGTTTCTCTGTGTAGTTTTGGTGCCTGTCCTGGATCTTGCTCTGTAGAGCTTGAACTCACAGAGATCTGCCTGGCTCTGCCTCCCAAGTGCTGGGATTAAAGGTGTGCACCACCACTGCCTGGCTGTTTTAGCAATTCTTAAATTACAGCCTAGTGGCATCAATTATATACACCATTACCACCATCAGTTTCCAAAATTCTTCCATCCTTCTAAGTGAGAACTAAACTCTAGCAATTACTGCCCATTTTTGACCCCTCCAGCTTACTTCTGTCTTGATTAATTGGTCTGTTTTAGATATTTCACGTAACTGGGACATACATATTTGTATATGTACTCCTTTCACTTAATGTAAATGTTTTCACTGTTGTTTTGGGCAGTGCTGGGAATGGAACCCTAGGCCTTGTGCATGCTAGGTTAGTACCCCCCCACACTGCCGTATCTCCAGTCCTGCCATAAATGTTTTCAAGATTGATGTATGTTAAAGCAGGGATCAGAACTTCATTCTGTTTTAAGGCTAAGTAATAACCCTTTGTATGTAGAGATCAATTATGTTTATCTTTCTATTGATGGACACAGGGTTGTTTCCACAGAGGCTACTATGAATAATATTGCTATATAGGTTAGCACACGAATACCTGTTCCAGTTTCTCTTTTCAATTTTGAGCACATACCTAGGAGAACCGCTGAGTCATACCCTGTTTCTGCGCTTAGCCTTTGGAGGATCTGCCAAACTGTTTCCCACATTTCACAGTACCAGCAATGTATGAAGATTCCAACTTTCCCACATCCTCACCATCCCTAATCATTTTCTATTAAAAAATATAGCCAATCTAGTAGGTGTATAGTAGTGTCCGTCACTTCGGTCTGCAGTTCACTAACAACGAAGGATTCAGAGCATCTTTTCATGTGCTTGCAAGCCATCTGCAAATGTTCTTGGGGTAAAGTCTACTTCCTCAAGTCCTCTGACCATTTCAGAATTGAGCTGCCACTCTGTTGTAGAGTTTTAGGAGGCCTTTATGTATTCTGGACGTTAAACCTTTATCAGATAAATGGCTTTCAAATATTTTCTCTCGTTATTTAAGTTATCTCTTCTGTTTCTTGATAATGCCTTTTGACATTTAGCCTCTCTTAAAATTTAGGTTTTTTTTTTTTAACCATAAAAAGGAGCAATAAACATGTACTATGGGGAACAAATGAAACAGAGAAGCTGAAAACGCATTGTAAGTCAGAGGCAGTAATGGGAAGTTCTGAGCACCCATGGGCTCTAGGGCCAGGTTACCTTAGTGTTTGTCCAGGCTTTTCCATTTGCCATGGAATGATTTTGTGTAGGTTTTTAAAAAGACCTTTCTGAGAGTCAGTTTCTTCATCCATAAAATGAAGATGCTAGTGATATCTATCTTAAGATGTTTTGTAAATACTAAATAAGCATAGATGCCTGGTACACTGTGAATATTTGAAATGTTAGCTGTAATTTTTATTAATGATCATAGTAATGATACATTATGAAGGTGTGTGCCAGAACCACTGAAAGGAAGTCACAGTCACCACAAAATCTTTTTTTTTCCCCCCTGAGACAGATTCTATGTAGGCCTGGCTGTCCTGGAACTCACTATGTGGATCAGGCTGGCCTGGTACTCATGGAGATCCACCTGCCTCTACCCCTTCAGTGCTGGGATTAAAGGTGTGCATTTCCAAAACCAGCAGAAGTCACAAAATTTTACTTGAGCTAATACATTAGCATCCCCACAAAGAACTGTGTGTAATGGACTGACTCAGACATTGACTTCCAGCCATCCCTTAGCCATGAGCTAAAGCTTCTGCACCCAGGCGAACTGTTCTTGCATAAGTACATGCATGCACACACATGAAGCTGTAGATGTGGACTACTGGTACTATCAACCTCTTCTAACACAGAATTTGTTAAGTCCATAGACTCTTATGGAAAAGCAAACATTTCCATCTACTAGTGGATGGGCTAAGGTAATGTTTACATAGGGTGCACTGTTCAACACAGCATTGATGTTTTACTATTAATGAGCACCTTTGGAGATAGAAATAGAAACAAACTCTTATCAAGAAGAGTTCCTAGCTATTAGCTCTAATTGTGGACACATAATACCATACCATAATTAGCATTTATGGGCAGAGACACAGGCACATAAAAGAACATTTTTTTTTAGTTGTCTCTGACTCATACAAAACTACTCTGAAGCACTGGGATAGGAAATATTAATGTTGTGCAAGGCTCACATGTTTTACGAGCTCTCAGGCTGAAGCCAATTATACAGACGATAAGATCAAAAAGGCACAAAGACTAACTACCTGGAATTTTTTTTGGTGTTTTTGTGGGTCATTTTAGACAGGTTCTCATTCTATAGTAGCTAAGGCTGGCTTTGAACTCATGGTGACCCTCCTGTTTCAGCCTCCTGAGTGCTGGGATTACAGATGTGAGCTGCCACATCTAGCAGGAATGTGGGAACATCCCATGTTAGGTACAACATTCTCATGTATTCATAATAATAAGCTGAACCTGGTTCTTGGTCAGGGGAACTTCTAACTCCCTGCATTGAATCAGGGAGGCACTCCTGATTCACATGAACTGTAATACCCCAAACCAGGCCCTGAGTACCTTTTCTGGAGATTCACACAGTATATTTTCTGGCTTCAGATCACGGTGAGCAATGCCTAGAGTGACAAACAGCAAAGAAGGGGTTAACACATGCACATAATTATCAAACATTCCACACGCAATTAATTTTTCCCAAATGCTGTTGTTCGCAGATTAATTCCCAATTATGGTACATTAAAAAATCAACGAGCTGCAGGAGGCAGCAGTGACCAGAGACACACACAGAAAGCACAGTTGCTTTTTGCAAGTTCTTTTGAAGTGGCGGCTTTAGGAGTCTGGCAGGGATCAGAAGCGCCAGATGAATCCCAGCCAGCCTACTTTCAGCACTGCGGCGACGACAACAGCGAGTTCTTCACTGTGCCACCTGACACGAAGCAGAGCAGACAGCCCCGCAGATGGCAAGGCTTGGGACAGCGATGCAGAAATAATTAGTGCCTTGTTTGAGAGTATCTTGGGGGCATGGGTGGCTCTACCTCATTTCTTCTTGTGCAACTGATTTTAGAAAAAGATTCCTCCAGTGTGACTCCTAGAACGCTCAGAGGACCACGTGTTAGCCTGTGATTCTCCCAAGGCTTCTTGAAGTCCCTTCTCACCTGCTCGGCATGGCACGTCTGTTGTGGCTGCCCTGTCTGCAGCAAAGCTTTGACAGAGCATGCTGTTCTTTAGAGACAGACACCCCAGTGTTTGGGCCAGACTTCCTGCAGAGGCCTGGCAAATAGTGGCTGACCCAAGATGGGGTTAAATTTTGCTGAAATGGCCAAGAAGGCACCTGGGGGAAAAATATCTTCTAAACATAGAAAGGGACAGAGTCAACAAATGAGGCCATGGTGTTTCTGGCAGAGAACACAGAATTCTTCCCTCCCTACCTGCCACTGGGCACACAGCACACACAGCACTGAGACACAGGCCTGGAAGACGGAACAAGAGCCAGACAGCTGGCTGCTTCTACAGAGCGAGGAGAAAGCGAACCTGCCACACTCAGACTCCCTGGATGATCATCTTCTCAGGCAGCCTTCCAATTCCCTATAACAGGCCAGGCCCAGACTTCTTAAGTCACTTCACTAGAGAAGAAACAGCTGAGCTCCAGCAGGCTAAGTAACTTCATCAGTCACCTAATTGAATGAGAACCCAGAGCAACTCAGCCCGGCCTGCACAAATTGAGTCAGGCTACCGCTCACCATACTAAAAGTGAAGGATATTTTCCATTATGGCAAGTGCTCCCACAGAAGATCACAAGCTGCACATGGAGCCTTACTCTCCAAATAGGTGTCCATGGCCCATCTGTGCCTCGGCCTGAGAACTCAGGGAGCCGGGCTGTAATAATGGGTCTGCCTGAGCGAATGCACCAGCCATCCAGCTGCTCTGGTTCATTTCCCAGAGGTTAAGCTGCAGTGTGTCCAGTATTTAAAAGTAGGGAACTTGTTTCGGGGCTGACCCATTCTTGCCCAATTCATCTTTCCGGCATGAAGTTATTTAGAAAACAGCCAAGTTCAGCTGGAAATCGTTTTTCATCCCCTCCAACTTCTAGTCACACGGGCAGCGGGCCAGCTAGATGGTAACAAGCACTTCAGAACTCCTAAGACACCACTGGCCTCTGTTCCCTTTAGTGCATTCTTGTAAATAAATAAATAAATAAAAAATAAAACTGCCTGTACCCCTCCTCCAAGGTATGCTCCCGTGAAAAGCGTGACCCAGTTTTGCAATCTACAGAGGCAGCTTGGGGAGCAGTTGTAAATCTTTGTCAGGCAGGTGTTACCTGCATGCATCCCAGCTTTCAGAAACAGAACCCCTTCCATTCATCATGCTGCTCAAAGTACAGACACCCCCTTCTAGGAATTTTCAGCCCAGGTGCAAAGTCAGGGCTCCAGCATAGACACGAGCAGTTTGCAGATCACTTTCAGCCACTGCGGGGCCAGGAGGAGTCAATGAGCCTGAACCTCTGCTCACCTGCCACACCTGGCTATGATATAGATCTGACAGAATGGAAGGCATCTACGGCACGCCCACAGCTGGGTCTGAGCGCTCACCGCCAGCGCTGTGCAGGGAGTAGGGCTAACTCAAACTATTTGTGCCGCCTCCATTCCCCTGCCCAAACCAGGCAGAATGCTTTACTTCAAGGAAAGTAATTTTAGAAATAAAAACTCTTTGTCTAGTGGGAGAGGGTAGAGGAAGTAACATTTAACAAAGGACTACTCTGTGCCAGGGGCCATACACACACACACACATACACACATACATATATACACACATACACACACACACACACATACATATATACACACATACACACACACACACACATACATATATACACACATACACACACACACACATACACAGCACTGCTATAAGCCTTTATTATGTATGACTTTGTGTACGTAACTGTGTGCATCTTCTGTATGTACTGTGTATATATGCATATACATGACAGGAACTGTGCACAGTGACCCCATCACTATACACTGGTATAGTTCCTGACATGTGTGCACACATATGCACAGAAGATACACACAATTACATAAGTGAATTCATCTAACACCTAACAAGTATAATGTGTTAACTACCATGGAGGACACAGTCATCTCTCCTAATCCTTACCATAACACCATAGGGTGAGTGTTACCACTGAAGGAACACAAGAGGGTTACAGGAGGGTAACTCAGTTTTCTATAGCGTTAAAAAATGTATGTAGTAGTCTAACAGACTTACAGACATGTGAAAAGATTTAATTCACTGCACAAGTTTTTAAATTATCAGATACACAAGACTAACTATACCCTATCAGGCCAATGAGGAAGAGAAATCCAGGAGATATGCTTTAAAAGATGAAAAGGAATGATGCTAAAATGCTCACATGGGAATGGGCCATTCATTTATGAGTTTTACATTATTTGTAAAGAAAAAGGGGGTTGGGCAGCTGGAGAGAGATGGCTCCATGGTTAAGAGTATTAATCATTCTTTCAGAAGACCCAAGTGTGGGTCCCAGCACCCACAGCGGGCAGGTCATAACCACCTGTAAGTCTAGCTCCAGGGGGATCTGATGCCTTTGGCCTCCTTGGACACCAGTGATTACTTGCATGCACTCCCACACAGACACACATATGCATAGTTAAAAAAAATCAAATCAATTTAAAAAGAAAAGAAAAGAAACATCACCCACGTAGAGCAACAGCGCACAGACCCACGCATGCTTTGGGCAGTGTGAACTCCAGTCTTTGTCTCCCTTCTTTTCCCTGGACCTCTGTCCTGTCACTCTATGACCACCCTCCACCTTCCTCAGTGAAGCCCAGGAGTCATGCCACCTTCCTAAGTGAACAAGTCAGAATCTTGAGGTGCCAGCTCCGCTACCTCTTAGACAGGTTCCCTGCCAGGACTGTGACCTCTACCGTGGTACCTGGAGGCTGGCCAGCCCAGCCTGCCCACCCAAGGCCGAGGCTTGGATCACCTTTAGTGTGCAGGAAGTCAAGGGCAGCGGCAACGTCCCGCACCACTCTGCTGGCTTCTAGCTCGTTGAAGTGCTTCCGCTTCTGGATGTGTGCGAGGATGGAGCCTGGGGAGCAGAGGGACGAGAAAGAGCGGCTTTGGAGGCGGAGGCTCCGGTAAGCATGACTTCTTACAGCACGAGTCTGGGGTAGGGACACAGGGCTCACGCACTGCTTAATGTCCAGCACCAACCGCGGTGCTTGGCACAGCGGGACCAGCACAATTCTGCTGAATCAGATCGCTACCTTCTATGCCTGTCCATGCGGAGTTCAGAGGCAGAAAACGAATTAGATACAAGGTAAAACGATGCTGATGCTACTGGGGCTGGTCTGGCTTCTGGAACCAAAGGGAATTAAAAGTGGGCACACACGGGGCTGTGGGCGCTTAGAGACATTTCCTCCTCTTTGTCTGAACTCAGATCCAGACGAGAACACAGACCTTCCAGTGGAAACTCCCACCCTCATCGTATGAGTAAAAACCTGGGGGTAGGGGATATGAGAAGACAGGATTGCTTTTCCTCCTAAAATTCTCCTTTACATGTCATCATTAATTTTGTTGGCAATGATTAACATTTATTGAGTATTTACTATGTGCCAAGAACTGTTCCATTTTCTTTAAATACATTATCTCAACACAAATGCACAAAATAGAACCGACTGCCATTTTACGAATGGGCAACTTCATGTCAAAAATGGTCAAGCAATTTGCCTAAGCTCACACACTAGCAAGTTATGGAGCTACAACTTTAGCCTAGTAAATCCAGCTTGTGCATACTTCCTTTCAGAAAGACTGTGGTCCAGCTGTTGGGGGGACAGGTAGTCTTGAGCCCACCCTCAACCTTTTTAACCCCAGAGTCTGGCTTCACCACTAGAGCTACACCTTAAGCAATAGGGCTGGAGAGGACTCCAGTTGCGCCCAATATTCTTTAGGCAGAGAATACTATCCTACATACTTCTCAGGTGTCCCTAAGCAGTCAGTTGTTTTACTAACAGCCTGCCAGCCCTCATTGAACTCTTTGTGCCTATCAGCACGGTGCTTAAGTATTTCACAGGTACTATCTCATTCCGTCTTCACAGCGGCCCTACGAGGTAGGCGCTATCAATAGCTCTACTGTACAGATGAGAATACCATTTGGAAAAGGCCAACTGATGTTTCCAAGGTCACGGTGGCTGATAAATGTGACTTAAGTTTAGCTTGTTAGTTTCTAAAAGCCCCTCCATGGAGCCTTGGACTCAGCTCTGCACATTCCTGTAACTTCACCTTGCGAATGTGCCCTAGGGCTGGGTGAGCCAAGGGGAGGGAATGTGCCGTTTTTGCTTTTACTAGGTCAGAAGAGTAACTTAAATGTACATTCCAGTGACAGCAGTGTGGTGGCAGACGGGTATCTTCCTTCTACCTGAAGGGTGGCATGTTCTTGTCCTCCTCTGTATCCTGAGTCTGTGTTCCAAACAATGCGGCCCTCTTCTCCTCTGTTTAGCCTTTCTGGACTTCACAATGTAAGCCAAAGCTTCCACTTCATAATTAATTTAGTTAAATAGTAAATGTGTCAAAACAGGGGATTGATAAATTGATCACTAACAGTATCTATATATGACTCCTATTATAATGAAAAGGCATTTATAGACTGCCCACACAGGTGACATTCTAAGCTCTGCAAAATGCTAATTATCCTCCTTCCCTCCGGCCTCCCTTCTCCCAAACCAAGGGCAGTTTTTAAGTCCTTCATCCTTTTTATTAGCTTGACTCATTTTAGAAGTCTCTGGGATTCATGATGGATGATCACCACCCTGGGTCTTAATCCAAAGTCCAAACACATACTCAACGAGATATACCTCCTTGCAATTTCTCAAAGACCAAGTAAAACCGTGTGTCATCTTCAAAGAATTCAATCAGCTCCAAAATGTTCCTTAAATAGAGAAAAGGGGGGGGGAGCATTATATGCTAAAGTCCACTAATAAATATCCAATACAGTGGCCGTAGCGGGCAGAAATCAACTTGAAATCAGAATGCTTATTAAAGACTCATGTTTGAGAAGCAGCCAACAGTGTTAGCAAGATTCAGGTCACCTTATCTTTCCATAATGTTTAGTCTCTGGTGCTTTCACCAGGTCTGTGCTGTCAAACCCCAACCCTAAAACCCACTAGGTAGAGTTATAAAAAGTCCTGGTCACATTAAACTGAATAAAATCTGCAGCCGACTGGAAGCAATTGCGGCTAATAACACTGAATAGTAGGTGTGTGTCCTGGAGGCAAGCAGCAAATAATTACTTGCCCTCCCTCTTGCCCATAAATCATGGGGCAGTATTTACATTGCCTGGAGAAGATGGAAACATCTGTCAAATAGACTTGGGGCCTAACGTGGGCACCGCTAGACCCTAACTGCTAAGCGCTGCTTAATGAAACCGCGCGTTCCTGGCCACCGTAGCACTTGTGGCCTTCCCCGGTGAGCACTCTCTGTCTGCAGTGCTCTGCCAACAAGGTCGTCTTGTAGCTCAGTGGGGAAGCCACCAGCCTGGATATTGGAGGTGTTGGGGGCTTTTTTCTTTGGAAGAACGAAATAAACCCAGTCGAGTCTCTAATGCTGAACTAAGAAGCTGCAGGGCTGGAAATAAAAATCTGTCCCTCGTAAAAAAAATGCTGACCACTTGGGGAGATACCGGGCTTTTACTAGTGTGAAGGCGTCCAAATAAGATGGCCAAAATGGCCTAATTTGAAAGAAGATTGTAGAGGCAGTGCCTGGAGTTAAATCAACAGCGGCCCCCATCGTCCAAGCTTAATGACAAAGCCATCAATACCAGGCCACTGGCTCCCTGCTGACCCTGCCAAGGAAGGGGGGGGGACAAATCTTGGAGGTGACCCTGATTTAAAGCCACAGTGGGAGGGCCACTCATTTGGAGCTGTGTAACACAGGGCTAAAGGTTACTGTGGCCCAGTTATCATCAAGCAAAGAGTGCTGGCCCGCCTTCAGCACGGTAATGGCATCTTACATTGGGAACAGGAAACAGCAGTGAGCAGTCTTCAACATGGTGTCTGTATTAAAGCAGCCCTAAAGGCTGCTACCAGGCACTATGCTGCTGGCCCATCTTCCATAGGCACTGGAAGAAAACAAAACCCCATTTCTTCCTCAAATAGACACTGATTGGGGGTGCTCATTTTCCTACCTATGGACTACTGTCACGGTATTTTCAGCCAAGAAAAGATAATTTATTGGAGTTACCACTATCCCTTCTCCCCCCTTGAAAGATGGAAGGAGTTACATGCAATTGTGGAGAGGCAGTTCCAATGACATGCTGGAGTCGGGATGCTAAGAAGTAATCCCTCCTGCAGCCAAGCGTTCCCCAGAGGATCAGTCACCTACATAACTCACCTGTTTCCTTGACACTGATATAGCGTCTCCACTTCACGGAATACTCGACTCCGACTGTGCCCTGCTTGCTTTTCAATGATCTGTGGGAAGAATGAAACTTGTCATGTACACTACCTGACCTCAAGATAGATCCCCAGCCAGAGCCCCTGGCAGGAGGTGAGTTTAGACACAATCCAAATCTACTCTCCAGCAGAGTCCGGAGTGGGCTTCAGTGACATGGGGAAGCAGGACACAAGCCCTAGGGCTTCCATGTTGTTGTCTCTGGCCATGTACACTATCACGGCAGCTTACAAAGCTGCTGCTCTGGGGCTGGAGAGATGGCTCAGGGGTTAAGAACATTGGCTGCTCTTCCAGAGGACCCAGGTTCAATACCCAGCACCCACATGGCAGCTCACAACTGTCTATAACTCGAGTTCCAGGGCATCTGACACCCTCACACAGACAAATGTGCACATAAAATAAAAATAAATAAAATATGAAGCTGCTGGCTCTTGGCTATACAGGGAGGGCTGGAGCAACCAGTGAGACAGCGATTTCTTTCTTCCTTTCTTTTTAAAAGATTTATTTATGTATACAGTGTTCTGCCTGCATGTACCCCTGCATGACAGAAGAGGGGGGCACCAGATCTCATTGCAGATGGGTGTGAGCCACCATGTGGTTGCTGGGAATTGAACTCAGGACCTCTGGAAGAGCATCTAGTGCTCTTAACCTCTGAGCCATGTCTCTAGCCCGAGACAGTGATTTCTACTGACTCTCAATCCCAAAGGGCAGGCATGACTGTGTTGAGATGGAGGAAGGCAGGGATGAGGGAGGAAGGGTGGAGAGGAAGCAAAGACTCTCTACCCAGATGCCACTCTGCAACTCCTACAGATAGAAGAAAAATACTTCCTCTTCTGCTAATCTTACTCTCTGGCAGGCTCTGTGTAAATAATTTAGACATTCCGTGTTGGTCAACCCTGACAACCATGTAAAAAAAAGTAAGGAAAGTGTATGTCTTCTGTCCACTCCCAGTCTTCTCTCTAGACCACACTTGCACCCAGCCTAGACAGCATCCTTCAGCACCAAGAGGCTTCTCTTTTCCTCCCATAGTGTGGGCAGCTCCTGCTACATGGTTACACCTCCACTTGGAGCTGCTTGGCAAGTGTTGACTGCAGGAAGATATGAGCCCACTCAGCAGTGGTTTGTGTGGGGGTCTAGCTGACTCTGAGAAGCCCTCTGGATCCATCCAGAGCCCTGGAGCATTGTTAACAGAGCCTGCAGGCAGAGCTAGTTCTGCTTCACAGCTCAGAAGGGAACATCCTGCCCCTTCCTTCTAGCTGCTTGGCATAACACTTCAAAAGATTCTACTATGATGTAACACAAATGTGTGTATCCAACTGTAACTTGGAAGTTAGTCACACCTGTTAGGAAATCACTCCGAACCTATCAGCAAGGTGCAGCGCTGGGGAACAGAAACCATGTTACTCTGAGCTATTTAGTTGCATTCATCAAACAGGAATGGTCAGGGTCAGAGACAACTCTCTAGCAGGCAGGCTTTCCAGCAACAGCTGACTTCTCTCTGAGGAGATAACCAATGGGTTCTGACCACTAGCCAGGGAGCAGAACATGGACAATTACTTTGAGTTAGAGGCAGTGTGGATCAGATTGTTGTGACATTCCATCCCGGCTCTACGGTCACTGGGTGGATGCTTAGAGGAAAAGCAGTAGTAAGCCATGTCTTGGGGAGTCATGCTGGGAGATCTAGCTTGTCTTAGGTTGCCTAAAGCTTCCAGAGGGACACGGATCAGAGGGACATGTTTTCCTCCTGTGACTCATCCTGGAAGAAACAGACCTGTTGCTTGTCCGTCCGTCCGTCCATCCATCCACCCACCCACCCATCCATCCATCCATCCATCCACCCACCCACCCACCCATCCATCCATCCATCCATCCATCCATCCATCCATCCATCCATCCATCCATCCATCCATCCATCCACCCACCCATCTACCTATCTACCTATCCATCCATCTATCTATCTATCTATCTATCTATCTATCTATCTATCTATCTATCTATCTATCTATCTATC